GAGAAGCAATTTAAATATGTTCAGGGACCATTTTCATCTCCAGAATTAAGGATTATTTTGATGTTACATCATTGCCTTTTCTCTTTTACTTTCCTTTTTAGTTTTATTTTAGGATTCCCTATTTTTAATGTTCATACAGAGATTTCTTTAACTGAAATACCGAATAGTTTCTGTGGTGTGAAAAACTGTAATAGTACACAGGATCCTAATGAGATAATTAATAATGTGAAATAGGAAGTAAAGGGCTAAAGGTATAGGGGAAGTGGGAAGGGTGGGGGAAAGGTAATAAGGGAGAGGAAAAAAATATGAGAAACTGAAAAAATGGAAATAAAGTGTTTGTAAATGGGGAGGGGAGGAGGGGGTGAAGGGAGGGCAGGGAAAAGGGGAAAAATGAGAATCAAGACCTGTTATGTAAAGGTACAGAATCCCAATGATGAATGTAATTGTATTGTATACCTAGATTGTACCAATAACCTCAATAAAAATAAAAAAAAGAATATCTATGCTATGCTTATTTCAGGGTTGTATGCTGGAATACACTGGGTCACATCTAGACAGGATTAGGTGAAGAGGAATCATACACTGATTCTCACCCACATCTGATTAGGTAAGTCAAGAACTTTTGAGAATGTCTGGGATGAAATGAACCTAGTTTGCATGCAAGGACATGAATGTAGGGGAGGCAAATGTTCTAAAGAGGCAAAATGTTCTAAACGGTGTCTTCCAAAACTGTATAATTTGACATTTCAACCCTAGTATATTTGGAGATAGGCTCTTTAGGAAGTGATTAAGTCAATAGTGAATAGCCTTCACGAATGGTACTAGTGACCCTATAAGAGAGACCCCCTTGTGCTATGTGCCATGTGAAGACTCTGCAAGACAACTATGTATGAACCAGGAAGAAGGTTCTCAGTAGTCACCATATTTGCCAATGCCTTGATCTTTAATCTCCTACCCTCTAGAATTGTGAGAAATAATTGCTGTTTGTAAGCCAGGCTGATATTCGGTTATGGTTATCTGAGCATACTAGGATATATGACTATTAGAGTAAAAAAGAAAACTTATTGTTATGGCTTGTATCTAGATGCCCCCAAACTAAAGCCTTGTGTGGTCATTGGTGGAGCTTTTCAAAGGTGGATGGATCTACATTGTGGGCTCTGGGATTCAGGACATGTTAACTAAATCGATTTAGCATAGTTCTGGATGTGGATAACGGGAAGGCTCACTTTGGGTGTGGGTAGTGCCCCCCAAAAAGACTTGTAGCCTGGATGGGAGGTTTGCTGTTGCAGCTTTGCTGCTTGCTGTCTCCTGCCTACTATTCCATGGTCTGTTTCTCCTCTGCGATGTCCCCCTACCATGCTACCTGCCATGGACCCAGCCAACTATGGACAGAAATGCCTATAAACTGTGAGCCAAAATAAACATTCCCTCCTTTAATTTCGGGTGTTGATTGTTTTCAAGAAAAGTAACCAAGACATTCAGAATCACTCAATATATACAGAAAAAGAATGCAACAAAAATTCGTAACAAAAACGGCTTAACTCAGCATGATTACTTTGAGATTCATCCATACTCCCATGTGTATCAAGAATTAATTACTTTGATTGCTGAGCAGTATTCCATTGTATGCATCATGATTTGTCCATTCACCTACTGATAGACACTCCAGGTTGTTTCCAGCTTTTACTATTACAACTAAAGCTGCCATAACATTATATGATGTATTCTATAGACATATGCTTTCTTTTCTCTTAAGTAACATACCTAACAGCCTAGAGGTTCAATGGCTGGATCATAGAGAAGGTGTGCCTACATCTCTAAGTAACTAATAAACTTTCCTAACATAGGTGAATCATTTTACATTTCCCCCAGAAGTGTATGAGTTCTAGTTAATCCATGTCCTCTTCAAGTCTTGGATGGATCAATATATAGTATGAACTTATTATGGTTTTAATTTGCATTTCCCTAAGTAACATTGTTTAGCATCTTTTCATGCACTTATTATGTTGTCTTTTTTGGTAAGGTTTCTGTTCAAATCTTTAGCTTTTCTTTTTTAAAAAATTGGGATGTTTCCTTTGTGTGTGTGTGTAACTTGAGAGCTCTTAATTGGGTCCAAGATACATACACTTTATAATTATCTTCTTGAGTCTATAGCTTACCTTTTAATTTTCCTAAGTGTTTTTAATAGTATTTAAATTTGATGAAGTCCAATTTGTTGACTTTTTTCTTTTATGCATCATAGTCCTGTTTTGTAGTTAAGGAATCTTTACCTAAACTACACAAATTTTTATCCTAGAAATAGGTACTTTTAGGTTCTGTATTCAAGTCTATTGCCCATTGTTCATTAAAACTTAAATGGTACAAAGTTTGAAGTTCATTTTTTGCTTGTATGTGTGTATCTGATTGTTCCAATACCATTTATGGAAACAATTATTATAAATTAAGTGTGTTGGAATGGCTGCAGCCATTCTGATAAGTAAGTTTACCTTCTTCACCTTAAAGTTTCCATGTACTACATCACAGATCACCAGTCATAGATAAAACCAATGCATGAACAAGGCTGGTCTGTATAAGGAATGAATGTCCAAGAATAGCCCCTGAGTGGCTGCCCGTGCATCTAACACAATCCCTGACCCACTTGCACCAGTCACCCACTATATAACCGAGCCCCTTCCCCAGCTCCATCCGCCTCTCCTTTGTTCCCTTTCTGCCAAGCGGGCCACCATGTCACAGTGGCTCTACAGTAAAATCTCTCATATGAGCCCTGTTGGTGTGTGGAGTGATCTTGGCAGGCGCTGATTTCTTTCATTGGTGCCATGACTCAAATTGGGTGCTACCCAGCTCCCAGCTTTAACACCACAGGCTTAGAGATCCCAAGCCTTAGTGCCCCAAACCTCCCACCTGACAACTCATGTCCATTCACCCAGATGCCTCTCCATGCCCACCACTGGCCTCACTAATAGGTAATTAACCAGACTTTACTTGCAGGTTTGTTGGTCTGGGTTTCGATCCCCATGGTGCAGCCTTCCCCTCCCTCTATGACAGTTGGCATGTTCTCAGCTTCTCCTGGCCTCTCACTCAAAATTCCTAAGCTCAGGTCCCAAGTCTCCTACAACCCTTTGGCCTGGCTTCAGCCTGAGTGGTGACGACCCTCTCACACGGTGCCTCTACTCTCGCGACTCTCTGTCCCTCACTCCAGGATGCCTTAGTGAGCAGCAACAGAAGTTTCCCTTCTCTGCCAAGAGATGGGAACAATCCATTCCAGCAGACTCCACCCTAGGCTACCTCCTCAAAAATCTCATGGCTCTTGGCCTCAAGCCTGACCTGGAACCTAAATGCCTTATTAGGCTTTCTACCCAAATTTGGCCCCAATTTGTTAGATAACCAAAATAAGTGGCCACCTAATGGCTTTCGATCCCTCACTTATCCAGGATCTTTACAAGTTCTGTGAGCACGCGGGCAAATGGAGTGAGATTCCCTATATTCAGGGTTTTTCCTTCTTAAAAACTAAGCCTTCCCTCTGTTCTTCCTGTTAGCCTGCTGCTAAGACCTTAAGCTCTCCCTCTGCCTCTGAAGAATTTGATCCAACAAATGAGCCTCCTCCTTACTGCTTTCAGAGACCTCACCATCCTGCCCACCCCTCCCCTCCTCCAAGTTCCTCTTCTTCTCTCCCGCCATCCTGTAAACCTCCACCATATAGCAACTCTGACCCTACATCCACCTCAAGGCAGGAACTATGTTATCATTCCCTCCTCTGGCTAACTGACAAATGTACCTTTTGTCTTCAACTTAAAATAATGTTTGATGGTGTTTGGTTTCTAGATGTTTAATTGATGTGTTTAAAACATTTATTTTACATTACAAATTCTTAAAATTGTAATTATGGATTAACTTGACCTTCTCTCTAGTTTCTGCTTACAGACTTCTGACAATAACTATAACACAAGATTACGCTACTGTTATAAAGCACTTTTATTCTTTCTCATCCTAATTACATGAGATCTCTGTTAATTGACCTACAAAAGTTTGGATAGCCTAAATTAAAAGAGCTGTTATAATTCAGTTGGCCAAATACATTTGGGTGTACTCTAGATTCATAAATTGTCTTACATGTTTGCCTGTGTCTAATTGTTTCGAGGTGTTTGTCCAATTATGTTCTTTTATCAAAATGACATCAAAGATACAACTAGATTGTTAATTTCTACAACCTGGTTTTACAGGTTAAATAAAAAATTGTCAGATAATTAAATATAAACTTTTAGGTTAGGGTACACTCCTATTGGTAAATAAAGAATCAGCTGCTCAGAAAAATTTATTCTGGTCTTTGTTCAATACTGGGAGCCCCAATAATTTTCACAGCCTTATGGGAAGATATGCCTCATTAAATGTGTTTTTATAAAATGTTTACATTGGTTATCATCAAAGGGTTGAGTTCTAAATATGTAATTGTAATATGTTTACGGTCATCTTCAAAATATAATATTTTCTGTAAAAAAAGTTATTTTTTTAAAAGATCCTTTTAGTACCAAGCTACATTAAAAGACATAAAATTTCACATAATTACAGTAATTATTATTGCTATTTTTCTGGTATACAAAATGTATTCATGTTGTCTGACCATGCAGGTACTCCAACATATTGTTTATGACAATAACCTTTTGATCCAGGTATTTGCCCTTCTCTTCTGCTCCACCTACTCATAATTACAGGTACATTTGTAGGTCCATACACTTTCCTTAGATGGCATCCTATCAAAAGGTAATAACTTAAGTAAGTTTCTTGGGTGTTTTTGTTTTTGTTTTATGTATTTAGAAAAATAAATACATTTAACAACGGCTATTTTATACTAAGATACATATCTAAATTTGTTGCAAAGATAATGTCATCATGATTGTTGTGCTAAAATATTATTATTATGTGTGGCTCCTGATTACAAGTTTTTTTCTGCTAATATTCTACAGGAAATCAACCATTAAAACAACCATGATTGATAAAAATAATAGCCCTCTAACTGTATTTTAGATTCCAGGGTGCTTGCTACCTAGATAAAGTTATGATAGTTATGCTCCTACTGTACTACTTATGTCAGTGATCTTCTCTTCTGGGTGTTCAACCACCAAAGGGCAAATACCAACACTAAAAGCTAACTGGGCTAAGAAGACCACCAATATTTTGGCTCTGGCCCTCCAAGGTCATCAAAGATCCAAGGTATAAAGGAATCTTTTCTACATCTTACATCCTTGGTACGTCACCCAACCTCCTGAACAGAGAGACTGCTGGACACCAGAGGACATATGTAATGTGTGCTAAAGGAGGGTCACCAAAAAAAAAAAAATCTCCCATACTTTCACTAAAAGCACCATGGTCAAGAGCAAGGCCATGACCCATCCTAATGGCTGACACTGAGAGAAGAGCTGAGAGGCTCTACGCATGGTTTCAAAATAATGCCTAAAGAGACTTAATTGACCTTGGCGGATAGCAAGAGGTTCATATTGATTAACACAGGTCTCACTTTAAATCAGTCTTAAACACCCAGCAGAAAAGAATAACCAAAAGAGACAGTCAATAAACAGGCACTAGTGATAGACTTTTGAGGCCCACTGCTCCACCTCGATCTCCAAGTGGTAAGCCAGATAACCCAGTCTCAAAACAAGGCTACAACACCTATATAATACCACCCTCTACTATCTCCCTGTCAATATCTCAGACTGTTAGATGTTTATGTCTGTTTACCCCCATTCATTCATTCCAATTCCCATCCCCCTAGATTTTAACCTGTCTCAAATACTGGCAATTTATCCACAGTTCTGGGACCCTTTGCTACAGGTCGCCCATTCCCTACACAAACCACTAACCTGACATGCACAGGGAAAAATGATATCACTTGCCTTACTTACTCCCTCTTTATCTCAGAAGAGCACCCCATCTGACTATCCAATGGCCTATACTTCATATGTAGCCAGGAGGCACTCTGATGCCTCAAATGAACTAAAATTTTCTGTTATATAGTGTTTCTCAGCCCCCCTTGACCATCTATATGGAATCCCAGATGTTTGAAAGGATCCTCCCAGGATCAAAGGTCAACAAGAGGGCGGCCCTCTTCCTGGTCCCCTTCTTGATAAAAGTGGGGGTCCTCACTGGCATGGTGATGGGTATAGCTTACATCTCTACTGCTACACATTTCTATCAGGCATCATCAATAGATATCTTAAAAAAAAAACAAAACATGAACAAAATAAGCCAATCCCTAAACACAGTCCAGCACCAGATTAATTCCCTAGCAGTTGTCCTGCTCCAAAATAGATGTGCCCTTGACATACTAACAAGCAGCCCAAGGGAAAACATAACAGGTTCTAGGTAAAGAGTGTTATTTTGGTAACCAACCAGGCATAGTCCAGGCAAAAGTTAAAAATTACGACAATACATCAAAAACTTTAAAAACAATGGGTTACGTGAGGAATGACCCAAGACTACTCCTGGCTCCAGCAGATTATGCCATGGCTACTTCCTTTATTGGGCCTGCTGACCTGCATATGTCTTCTGGCCATAATAGGCCCCTGTTTGTTTTGCTGTTTTAACTATTGTAAAATAGATGTGTGAGTTCTAACTTTGGTAGTCAAGTTTGCTTATCTGTAAAAAAAACAAAAACAAAAACAAAAACCTTTCATTGGGTTTTGTCTTCCTTCTGTATCTACAAGCTAACTGGGAGTTAATTTGATTCTAAAACAGTACAAGTTTTTTTATGGGGGGGTTACTTACTAAGTAAATGGGTCTCTGTATCTCAAGGTTACACATTTTTCTACATTTCATTTAAGGCAGAGATAAAATTCCAGGGCTACGGAACATAATAGGCTATTCTTATATCTCAGATGTCAATGGACATCATAATCTCTGTTCTTGACCCTCCTTTACATCCTCATTCTGGCCATAGTTATCCCCTGCTTACTCCAATTCCTCCAAAATCAAATCTGAAAAATGTCTAATCAGATAGTCAATCAGCTTATCTTACAGGAAGTGACCACTTCACCAGCCCACCCACCTTCTGGATAAAGCCCCATGATGTGGATCCAGATCTGGCTAGGGTTTCTTGACTTCATAACTCAACTACAACAGGACCTCCATTGGTTCTATCCTCAAAAAAGATCAGTGGATGGGATCTTAGATTGGTTAACGAACATTTCTACCAGAAAACCCTCCAAGATTTTAGTAAAAAAAAAAATCCTTCTATACCCTTCTCATTATCTGCTGGCTTACACTCCCACCCCCATAGGTACGAGTTGAGCCATTTGATTAAAATCTCCCAATGGCCCAAAAACTCTCCCAACCCCAAATGTGGAACACACAATTCTTTTTATACATCTCACAATACCTGTTGCCTACTCAAAAAGACCTGATCTACCACTTGTCATACTCACCCAAAGATTGCCCTTTCTGTGCTGAGTATCATGGCAGAGACAATTTAGTTCTACTCCCAGGATACTGCAGTTCCCACAAAAATGAGTCTGTGGTTCTCAATTGACACCTGGGAAATATAAATCATGTCTGGTTCCTACCCAACTTCCACACTAGACTTTTGGTCCATCTGTTCTGCCATCCAATCACCTTCCCAATTACACATGCTCCTCGATTAAAAGGAAAAATTATGCATTTAACTCCTTGGCAGTGCTATATTTTTTTATTATTGCCAGGGAAGGCCCCCTCCATCTGCCATACACACACACACACACACACACACACACACACACACACACAAACACACACACATACTTTCAGGATATGGCTAATTCAATTCTTTCTTTGCCATTTCAGTTCTCCCTCCCCACAGTTGTGCTGCCCCTCAAGCTACTAAACAGGCCTAGATCAGCACCCACTACTCCATGATCTTACCATCACTGCCCTCCTTGATGCTCCTAAACAAGCAGCCCTCCAACAGCTATGTTGCCCAAACAAAGACAAGACATGATAGACTAGAAATCCCTCCCTCTGGCCTCTAATCACCCCACATCTGTCCCTTTTCAGCAGGAAGTAGCTACAGAAGACAGATACTTCATCCCTCTTCCTGAGGCCATAACAAACAAAAAAGGGAGGAATGTAAGGTAAGTGCCTTGGAATGGCTGCTGCCATTCTGATAAGTAACTTCCTTCTTAACCTTAAAGTTTCCATGTCCTACGTCACACATCACTGGTCAGATGCACAAACAAGGCTTGTCCATATAAGGAATGGATGCCCAAGCGTGGCCCCTGAGTGGCTGCCTGTGCAGCTGACACAATCCCCAACCCACCTGCACCAGTCACCCACTATATAACCAAGCTCCTTCCCTTTCTCCCTCCTCCTCTCCTTTGTTCCCTTTCCTCCCTGTGGCCCTATAATAAAATCTCTCATAGGAGCTCTGTCCATGTGCAGAGTTGATCTTTGGCAGGCACCAGTTTCTTTCAATTATCCTTTTTCCGTGGAATTTTACCCTAATTAAAAACAACAACAACTATGTTCATGGGTTTATTTCTTGACGCTGTTCCATTTGTCAATTTCTGTATCTTGATGCCAATATTGCACTGATCTCATTACTTGGCTCATACTGACTCTAACTCAGGTATGTTAGCTCTCAAAAATCTCTTTTTTTTCAAAACTGCTTGGGCTATTCTTTGTTTTTTTTGGGGGGGTAGGGGGCTGGGATGGAACTCAGGTCCCTTCACTTGCGAGGCAGGCAGTGGCACCACTGAGCTAAATCCCCAGCCCTGAAATTGCTTGGGCCATTCTTGACCCTTCGAGCTTTTGATACCATGGTATGGATCCACCATATAGATTCCAGGATCTTGTGTATGGCAAGCAAAGAATTCCAAGTGTACATCCAATGATAAAAGAAAAAGCAGCTCTATTTATTAAAGATAACAGAATAGTATACCCAGGAAAGGTAGGTCTGTGCCAGCAGAAACAAAAAACTGGCACAAATTATTCTGTCTCTGGATATGATTGACAGAAATGATGGACAAGGTGCTGAGTCATTTTAGGGGCAGGACAGTACATGTGCCTGTCCCAGGGTTCACTCTGATTAAATCACATGCATGAGATTCAGTCCATAGGTATGAACTTTTAAAGAGGTTCAAGTAGCAAAAAGGTCAAACCACGAAATCTGCACATGTGCTCTGGCCTAGAGCTATAGAGATTTCATGCACCCTTATTTTCAGTTCTGCTTTTCTTAGGAGGAATATCCCTGGGGTGTTGCCCAAATTCAGGTGAGCAGAAGGGGGTTGTCTCCCAGCCCCAAAGGCATTACTGTACTATTTTGATTGGGATTGCACTGAATCTTTCAACCTCTGACCCACAAGTTATATCTTTTGACTTACATAGGTGTTCTTAAATGTTTTTCAGTAATGCTTTTGATGTGTAAATTTTTCACAACTTTTATGCAAGATTCATGCCTAAATATTTCACATTTTATACTATTGTAAGTGAGATTGTATTTTAAGTCAATTTCTGATTGTATGTTGCTAGTACACAGACATACTGATGTTTGATATTGCTTTTGTATCCAGTAATCTTATTAACTTATTAATTTTAGGAACTGTATGGAGATTTCATCAGATTTTTCTATAAAGGTATCATATCTGAATAAAAATAGCTTCACTCCCTCTTCTAGCATGTACATGTCTGTTATTTCTTGTTCTTGTATATTTGTATTGATTAGAACCTCCAATACAATGCTGAATAAAGAATAAGTATTAAGTGCCTTGCTCCTGATCTTAGGGAGAAAGTACTCATTCTTTTGCTATTAAGTTGATATCAAATGTAGATGTTCTGTAGATGCCTCCCCAGGGTCCAAGATTTGCTAGAAGGGCTCATAGGACTAAGAAGTTTTCTACTTACAGTTGCAGTTTAATACAATAAAAGGATAAAGAGTAAAATCAGCAAAGGGAAAAAGCACAGGAGGTGAAGTGCAAAATAAATCATGTACAAGCTTCCAAATGTTTCTCCCCCAGAGGAGTCAAAAAGAACACACTTAATTTTCCCAGCTAGCATGTGGGATAATACAGTTGTCAACCAAGGAAGCTCACCTGTGTCTAGGTGTCCTGGATTTTTACTAAGTATCAGACACACATGCATAAGACACCTGTGTGACTGATCTGTTACTAAAGCTCAAGATCCCCAGATGGAAAGATGTTCACCATAAACCATACCGCTAGCATAAACTATCTGTACAAACTAGTACAATATGGCTCAAGGCCTGAATACTCAAATATATAAATACATTCTTGGTTTTTGTTTGTTTTTTGGGTTTTGTTTTTGGTTTTTTGATTTTTTGTTGCTGTTGTTTGGTTTTGGGTTTTTTTGTTTGTTTGTTTTTTTGTTTTTTGTTTTTTTGGTACCTGGGATGTAATGCAGGACCTTCCACTTGCTATATAAGACAAACCATTTCTTTCTCCCCGCCCCCATTGACTTTATCAGTACTTTTTAGGTATACAATACAGTACATTTGTCATTGGGATCTTATACCTTTACATGATGTATCTTGGTTCTTATTTTTCTCCCATACTCCTGCCCTCCCTTCACCCCCTCCACCTTTCCCTATTTACAAAAACTTTGTTTCCATTTTTTCCTTTTCTCATATTTTTTCTTTTCCCTTCTTTCCTTTCCCAATTCTCCTACTCCTTTACCCTTTTTCTTCCTATTTCACATTAGCAATTATACAATTTGAACCTTATTTACACTTTTAGTTTTTCACACCAGAGAACTATTCAGTATTTACATGCGAGTCCTATTTATTTCACTTAAGAGTATGGCCTCAATATGCATCCATTTTCCTAAAAATGACTCTAGTTTCTTATTCTTCATGGCTGAGTAGTACTCCATTTTATAGAAAAACCATATCTTCTTTATCTAGTCTCCAGCTGATGGGTAATTGGGCTGTTACCAAGTTTTAGCTATTACAAACAGTGCTGCTATAAACATGAGTGTGCATATATCACTGTGGTATGATTTTTTAAATTCTTTTGGAAAGATAGAAGAGGGATAGCTGGCCAAATGGAACCTCTAATCCTAGTTTTTTGAGGAATCTCCATATTGATTTCCACAGAGGTTGCACCAGTTTTCACTCCAACCAACAATGGAGATGGGTTCCTTTCTCCTCAGAACACCAACCAGCATTTGTTACTGGCTGATTTCTTGATAACAGCCTGTCTCTCTGGGAAGAGGTGGAATCTCAGTGTTGTTTTCATCTGCATCTCTCAAACGATCGGTGATGTTGAACATTTTTCTTATGTTTATTTGCTGCTTTTACTTCTTTGTCCGAGAAATGTCTGTTCATTTCCAATGCCCATTTTTTAATGGGGTCTTTATATTTGGGAGGGTCTGATTTTTTGAGTTCTTTGTATATTCTAGATATACCTTTGTCTGAGTGAAAATTAGCTGGTGAAACTTTTTTTTCCCACATTGTAGGTTGTCTTTTAACTCTATTGGATTCTCTTGCAGTGCAGAAACTTTTTAATAAGATGAGATCCCAGTAGCTGATTCTTTGTGCTAATTCCCATGCTACTGAAGATTTGTTCATAAAGTCTTTTCCTATGCCAATGAATAAAGTCACATTCTTTGTTTGTTATGGTACAGGGGATAGAATTCGGGACCTTATGCTTGCAAAGCATGTGGCAGAACCAACTGAGCTAAATCCTGAGCTTTTAAGACAAAGCATTTCAAGAACTTGGGTTCCCTGGAACTAGGAAAAGGACAATCACGGAAACAAGCTTTTCTTGGGAATGTGCAACTTGGGAGTTTGAGCAATTCCAGCCAGCTGAGTCAACCCACTTCTGAACATTCCACTGTAAGGCTGAGCAAATTCCTTCTATGGTTTCTGAGAATTTTATCAAGAACAAATATTGCATTTTTGTCAGATGCTTTTTCTGCATGGTTTGAAGTGATCATATGGTTTTTTTCATTCTACTTTGCTTATATAGTGAGTTACACTGATTTCAGTCCCTTGTATTCTTCGCATAAACACACTTTGGGTCATGATATATTAATCCTTTGATATATTGTTAAATTTGACTTGCTAAAATTTTTTAAAATTTTTGCATCTATGTTCAAGTAAAATATTGAGTGACCTGCAGTTATCTTTAACTGATTTTGGTACCAGGTATGTAGCTTCTTAGAATGAGCTATAAAATTACTACTCTTCACTTTTAGGTAACTTTTCATAGTATTACTATACTTATTCCTTAATATTTGGAAGATTCACCAGTGAATCTTCAGGATGTAGAGTTTCCTTTGAGATAAATGTTCACAAATGCAAATTCTTGAACATGTATTAGTTTATTTATATTATCCATTTCTTCTTCTCCTTTGTGGTACTGGAGTTTGAACCAAGGCCTTTGCACTGAGCTCTATCTCCAGGATGTTTTACTTTTTTGAGACAGGTTCTTGCTGCATCACTAAGTTACTCAGGCTGGGCTCAAGCTTGTAATTCTCTTGCCTCAGCCCTGCCAGTATTTATTTTTGAGTTAGCTTTGGTAGTTTGTATTTTTCTCAGAGTATGTCCATTTCATCTAAGCTACCATAATGACCTGACATAAAGTTCTTTATAATATATTATTATCCTTATAATGTCTTCAGAATAGAGTATGTTACCTTTCTCATACTCAATACTGGTTGTTTCCTCCTTCTTTTTTCCCTGATGTGTCTGCCTCCAGGGTCATCAATTCTACTGATGTTCTCAACCAGCTTTTGACTTAACAATTTTCACCACTGTCTACTTCAATGAAGTCTACCCTATCCTTTATTAGTCCCTTGCTCTTGTTTGAGTTCAACTCATTTTTCCTTTTCCAGTTTCTGAAAAAGGAAGCTGTGACCATTTGATCTGTGACACCTCAGATGTAGAAAGAAATGGCAATGTTTGCAAGATTACTCTTCCCACTTTAGTCTGTTAGCCATCAAGGAAAAAAGTGCTGACACTCATTTCTGAAGATAGAAATGAGAAAAAACACTTATTCATAATGCTGATGATACCAACAAAGTCATTCAATGATTTCCAAAGGCCTGTTTGTGCGGAGTACAGCAGAAATATATTAAGAATTTTAAATAATCTGAACATATCGTTTTTAATGCTGAGAATAAAAGATCATATTTTCTAAGTCACTAAACTATGCTGCTATTCACTCGATTGCTGAAAGGTGATTCCTTCTCACAACCTGTTTCTTTACTCATCACTGAGACTGATTACTATTTATGTACATATAAACAACATATTCAAATTTACAATAAACATCATGAAACACTTTCCAGACACTGAAATAGT